CCCCATTTTCTATTCCCGTTTTGGACCGGTTTACGCAATAAATTGTGAAAGAAGTATCGAGCTGGCGAGATCTCACATATGAACCCAATGTGCATATGCCTGGTGACCTCTTGTTAACAATCGGTCGGATATAAGAGCAGGTGCTGATTGCAAAGCATTGTAAGGTCCAAAATGCTTGGTGGGGTTTGTAATACTCACCAGCTTGGTGAGGATTGGCAATAAATCGAGCCCCTATAATCCTTGGTATAAAAATGCCAAGCCGGTAGCACTTTACCATGGATTGTGCACATTATGAGCTTTGTAAAGGTATACATTCCCCTACAATAACTCCCCGCTTTTCGTGATGCAGATCGCCTCCCACGGGGATGTCTACCGCATCGAGCAGAACGTCCTCAAATGCTTCCGGTCCCACTACGACGCGGAGGCAGTGATGTACCAGAACTGGTCGCGGGACGTGAATTTGGAGGAGCTTTACTGCGGCCCTGGGACCCTTTCACGTCTGCACGCTTTGAAGAAAGAGTGAGATCCCAGAGAGCATGTTCACGAATTTACTTTTCATAAATTATGTAGGACGATTTGGACTCACCCTTTCTGAGAAATCGAAATAAATAGATGAAAGACCCTAGATGCAAGATACACGTGATCGCGTTGCGACCGGCAATCCGGCAATCACACGCCGTCCGAGTCATTGACTCGCATCCTCCCGCCACTGAGTCCTCCCTGGACCTTGTCCATCCATTACGGCGATGAAACAGGCTTTACTATAGGCAGACCAAAGAAGCCAGGAAAAAAACATGTCTGCTTTGCTGCCGTTTCACAAGACGATTTTGGAAAGAATACATGACCCTTTGACGAGCGACCTCCTCATCCTCGCGCGAGGACTGGGCCTCCGCAGGATCGTGTGTACTTTAATGAAGATCCTCGACGGCCCGGAGAACCTCGTGCTTCTGGTCAATGCGACGGCGGAAGAAGAGTCGGAAATTGGCGAGGAGCTGGGAATTATGGGGTGCCGAAGACCTGGCCTGCGCGCTATTGGGTTCGAAACGGGGAGCAAGGATAGGTACGCGATTTCTGGGTCATTTCTTTGTTCTCGTTCTCATTCTGGACAAGGCAGGCACTTTACCTCAAGGGCGGACTGTTTTCGGTTACATCCCGCATCCTGGTCGTCGATATGCTTCAGGGCGATATACCCACCGAGCGCATCACGGGCATCCTGGTCCTCCACGCTGAGCGGTATGTACCTCCTTGTCCGGAGCGCTAAAATACTTGACCTATTATCGCAGCGTGACGCCTCTTGTTCTCGAGGCCTTCATCGTGCGGCTCTATCGGGAGAAGAATAAAACGGGCTTCCTCAAGGCCTTCACCGACCAGCCAGAGCACATCACGAATGGAATGTCGCCCCTCAAGAACATCATGAAGGAGCTGCAGCTCCGCACCGTGCACATCTATCCACGGTAATATCCTCCGGCGAAATCTACCCTGACGACGTCTCACAGTCCATTTCAGCTTCCAGGAGGACATCAAGAAATCCCTCGAGCGCAGGAGAGCAGACGTCATCGAGCTCTCTCAAAACCTGTCCGAGCCCATGGCAGACATACACCACGCGATCCTGCAGTGCATGACGGCGACCCTGGGCGAGCTGAAGCGCTCGAACACGACGGCGGGAGAGCTCGACCTAGACGACTTCAAGGTGGAGAACGCCTACTTCCGCTCATTCGACGTCATCGTGCGCCGGCAGCTCGACACGGTGTGGCACAAGATCGGCCCCAAGACGAAGCAGCTTGTGACCGACCTCGGGATCCTCCGCCGGCTCCTCTTGTACGCGCCGTCTAAATCTGATGTTCATTTCTAATGCACGGCCAGATACCTGCTCACATACGACCCGCTGCAGTTCCACGCGTACCTCGAAACCCTGATCGCGACGAACACCGTTACGGTCCTCGGCGTCAAGCAGAATCGCTCCCCGTGGATGATGAGCGATGCCGCGCACATTATCTTCGAGGTGGCAAAGCGCCGGTGCTACACCGTAAGCACCACCGCTAAACTTACCGGGGGGCTCCCACCGCAGTACCCGGACGACGACGACGACGAGTGGGCCGCCATGGACGAGCTGGCCGGGCAGGTCGGTGAGGGCCGGAAAAGCGCCCGCGGTGGCTTCCAGAGGGTCTCGACCCCGTTCTGGAGGAGCTCCCGAAATGGAGCCTCCTGGCGGACATTCTGCAAGAAACAGAGGAGGAGATCCTCAAGATAGAGTCCCTCCGCAAACCACCCGGTACGTCACGTTTGAGCCTGACCCACATCGCATCCGCTGATCGACACACATGTGCCTCTCAGCTGGGGCAGGTTCGAACATCGTTCTGGTCATGGCGTCGTCAACCCGGACCTGCACGCTCATATCCGAGTTCCTCTCCACGAAAGACGACAACGCGCCCAAGGGCGCACAGGCGCGCCCGATGCTGATGCACAAGCTGCGCCTCTACCTGTGGTGGAAGCGCAAGCTCGCGGAGCGGAAGCAGGACGGGCGGCCTGGGTTCGGCATGCCTGACTCGTCTGGGCACGGGGGCCCCAATCAAGGGTATGCAAGGATGTATGGCGGCAAGGAGGGCCTTAGTGAGGCGTTGCAGCGGAAGGACCGCAAGAAGGCGGACAGGTACGCGAGCCGCCGCCGGGTACGCGGTGGGGCGCCGGCTGCGTCAGCGGGATCGTCCGCGCGTCCGACCCCCGTGCAGCCCGTCCCCGCTCTCGGGACCATTCGCGCCGAGGCCAATAATATTGCGGACTTGTGAGCGTTTCGTTCTGCTGCTGCTCTGTGCCGCCGTGACTGACCAGACACCAGTTGGGCGGCGCAGAGCACGGAAGACGTCGATGCCGCAATGACACTCGACTTGAACGACGCGAGTCTGTTAAACTTTGACTCCACCGAGTTTGAGAACGAGTTCGATACGAATTATGGGTTGCTAGTGCCGCAGCAGACGGTTCTGGTTCGCCCCTACTCGGACGACACGGACGATCGTATGCTCGCGGAGATTCAGCCACGGTTCATCGTCATGTACGAGCCCAATATGGACTTTATTCGGCGGATCGAGGTATGCGTTCGTTCAACGTTTATTGCCATGGACCGCTAACTGCTCCGCAGGTCTATCGCAGCTCAAATCCGGGCCTGAGCGTCCGCGTGTATCACATGCTCTACGGCAACTCGTGCGAGGAGCACAAGTACCTTGCTGGGATCCGCAAGGAGAAGGACTCTTTCCAGCGTCTCATCAAGGAGCGAGGAGTCTGTTCCGCAGCTGTATTTTTTCGTTGTCGGTCTAATGAAATAACAGAGCATGCTTTTGCCGATCTTCGAGGACCGCAGCGACGCCAGAGGAGATGCCATCATCAAGACGATTAGCACTCGCATTGCGGGAGGCCGGCGCGAGCCGCGCAAGGAGCCGTTGCAAGTACGCTTGGCCAAGTGGCTTGATTATTGCACTCCATACTAAGCACGACACAGGTCATTGTCGATATGCGGGAGTTTCGGTCCACGCTTCCTTCACTTCTGCATGCATCGAATGTGGTCGTCATCCCGCGACGCTGACCGTCGGTGACTACATATTGACGCCGGACATCTGCGTCGAGCGAAAGAGCTTGCCGGATCTCATATCCAGTTTCAATAGTGGGCGATTGTGAGCGTCTTGATACATCACACGAACGTAGTACTAATCCCCGCCGCAGATACACGCAGTGCGAACTGATGTCTGTTCATTACAAAAACCCCATCCTCCTCATCGAGTTCGAGGAAGACAAGGCCTTTTCATTGGAGGTAGGCTATCTCCGACTTTACACCTAGCCTTCTAACGTGCGATCGAAGGTGGTGTCCGATATAAAGTCGTACGCGAAACCAAACAACAAGTACCCGCCTAAAAAGCCCGGCGGGTCTGAGCAGGAGCGCGCCTCCGTGGCCTCGCCGATGCTGCAATCCAAGCTCGTGCTCCTCCTCCTCTCCTTCCCGCGCGTGCGCATAATCTGGGCCTCGTCGCCCTACGCCACCGCGGAGATCTTCGCGGACCTCAAGGCGAACATGCCCGAGCCGGACGTGCGGCAAGCGATTGCAGTCGGCGCCGAAGAGGACCCGGAGGCCGGCGCGGGGGTGAACGCCGCGGCGGAGGAGCTACTGCGTGGGCTGCCGGGAATCACGGCGAAGAACGTCAAGTATGTGGCGACGAAGGTGCGGAATGTGCGCGAGCTATGCGAGATGGGGATGGCTGAGGTGCAGGCGATCCTGGGCGTGGAGCCGGGGAAGGCGTGTTGGGAGTTTATGCATCGGGGCGAGGGGAGGAAGTGAGCTGTTGTGTTATCTAGTCGTGTGCTTGATTATTTGCAGTCTTTTGTTTAGTGACGATGTTAATTTCAAGCAAGATATAGAACGCAATGATCCAAGTGATGACCCGATAGAAGTCGAAGGCAGCACAAACGCGGGGGGCTCTGGGAGTGTAATCATGTCGTTGAACGTTCCACCCCAGCATTCGTGGGCTGCTATATGCAAAGAGGTGAGAGCGGTAGCGAGGTCAGAGTTTGACGCGCTCGAGGGAAGCTTGGCTTGTCTCAGCTTGTCCCTCGGATCTAGGGCAAGGTGCCGCCGTTAGCGAGCCTTCGGATGGTAGCGTCCGAAAGTAGCGTCATCTTGGAGCTCTGAATCCAAGCATAACGGATATAGGGGGTGCAACGTGAATCCAGGTGAAGGAGACCCGTCAAACTCGGGAAATCTTCCAAAGAGGTATCGGCCGAACGCTGCCGAAAGATGCACTACGCTCCCGTCCCAATAAGGCGATTATGTTATCTAGCAGAGCGAGTAGATGGACGCGACACTGCGCACATTGTGAAACGTTCGTAATTGAAATACGAAACAAAATATGGCAGGGATTAGCGAGGCCGATGGGTTGATCCATCGGTGAGCTCGCGTCCTTATCCGATGAGTTCGAATCAGACATCGATAGAAGTGGGAGGCTGGGCAAAACATTTGATTGGAGTGGGATTCGAACCCACGCCACGAATGACCAGATAATCTATCCCCAATGGAGAAATGGAGGCTTCGAATTGAAGCTGGACCTTAATCTGGCGCCTTAGACCGCTCGGCCATCCAACCCTAGGGACCAAGAGCTGCCTTCGCCTTCCATCGCTGTTGACTACCTCTCTCTTTTAAAATAGTGCATAGGCTTGCACGAATGTGTATGTTGAACACATCGTTTCGCTTGTCATGGCTGTCTACCGCAAGCACAAAATATCAAGGACTATACAAGCTCATACATCGACTACTTAACGTTAAGCTCAAGACTTCGCCCTCGCTTTGCCCTTCCTCTTGCCGGTGGGTGCCACATCCTTCTTCTGTGTCTCAGACCGAAGGATCCGCGTAGTGGGTTCAGGCGTCTTCGCCTTCTTGGTTGTGCTGCCTTTTGCGACCTCATTCTCCTCCTTGTCATCGGTAGTGATGTGCGGGTCGGGTCGGGCTTGGGCTTGAGCCCGGGCTTGACTGTATTTTTTTGCTCCCTGCATTCAAGTAAGTTTCGTAGCAGATTCGGTGTTCTGTATATCATTACTCACTGCAAGTCTCACTCTGTAAATTTTTGAACCCTCACAGACGGTTTTATCAGCACCAATCAATCCGTCAAAATGATTCGACCTACTATCGCGGCTTGCCAAGTCACAATCCAGGTGAAAAGACCTGCTGGGGATGCTGTATTTCAGTTTACCAATGTCGAACTGCCTCAATGTTACCATTTCATTCGAAAAATCCCACCCCGAGTGGGACCCACTGAGGCCCGGGCTCAAGCCCGGGTCGCGGGTCGGGCAAAATTCTGGGCCCGACCCGGCACATCACTAGTCATTGGAGCCAGCAGTGAATGAATTCTGCCGCTTCGTTTCTCGCCCTTTGCCCTTGCCCGCCGCGAGAATTTCCTTCCACTTTCCGAGCACACTCGACAATGTTCCCGACGATTTCGGAGGGTGAGACAGCTGCCGTGAGCTCACGGAGCATCTTCATGGAAAGGCTCGCGTGGGGCGCGGCCTTCTTTGCGCGCGCTTTGGTCGTGGAACGATACAACCACGCAAAACACAGCCGGAGTTGTGCTCTTCGATTTGCTGGAGTCCACGGGAAGAGCGTTCAGAAGCTCGAGAGCGTGTTTGTGAGCGAAACTTTCGGGATCGTGCTCCTGCGGACCCGACTTTCAGCGACGGAAAGTTTCGAAGTTGATTTTACCAGGTCGCAAAACAAGATCTTCTCCTGCAGGGACGCGAGCAAATCACTACCTTCGCTCTTCTCTGGGGTGCTTTGCACGATAGCCCAGATAAGCGACCCATCATCTAGCCTCAAAGCGAACAGTAAATCGGGATTCGCGGCCTCAGGGATGCAGAACGCCGTGCGGTGCTTGTGCTCCATCCACGCCACGATTTCGTCCACATTCTGGGCGTTTGTCGCAAGGGCACCACCCTCGGGACGGTAGACCACGGAGCAGCTTATATGTCCGTCCTCAGCGGCACGCAGCGCCACGAGTTCCGCTGGCTGTTTCGCCCATGCCAGGACGGCTTTGGAAAATGTGAAGATATCCGAAACCGCGCGCTCGGAGTTGAACGCGCGAGAAAAGTAGAAGGCAAGACACTTGGCAACAGTCTTTGCCGTGTGCGGGAGGTGTTGCTGGAGACTGGCGAGGAAGTTGTGGGACGGCGTTGACAGAATGGGGAGGGGTCGTATGGTAATAGACCCCTTGGGGCCAGGCCAATTTATCCACATGGTCGCACCGGCGAGAACGATAGGTTCATTAACCAAGATCTTCATCTTGCTGTCTATGAAGCATGCGTAGTCGAGAGACCACATCAATTTTGTCTGCGTCAAACGGCGGGGGATGGGAACCGACGGCGAGGTAATAGAATATTACGTCCTGGATGAGACTGCTCATGTGTACGTCTGTAATTTTTGTGAATGAATGTTAAAACGGAAATAAATGAAAGGGCTGACTTGCGGGCCAATCAAGGTGTGAATAATCCATGGTATTAACATTCAATTGGTAAAAGTCCACCTCCGGTTCCTCGTCTATTGCCCTCTGACCATCGGTGGGTTCAAAACGGGAAAGAGTTTCGACAAAGAATCGATGAGGACTTTGAAAACCGGATACAATGAGATTCTCCACAAGTGCAGCGGTATACCGGTGCCTTAAGGACGAGTTAATTTTTGAGCTATGTGGTTGGCACAAAATTACCTTCCCCGTGTCCAGTGCCACGCGCGGCACATAAATTCCTCGTCGGATGTCGATCCTGAGAAGGAGGGAGGCAGGAATCTATGTGGATAATTTTCTTGCAGTGACTTCTCGTCAAAGGCGCCCGTATCCGACGTCCAACCCAAGTGTTCGGCAACATTTGGTTCTTCAAAAATTTTAAATGGAATCTCAGTACCGGCGACGACGAATGAGGCGGAGCCTATAGAATGGTGCGAATCCCATATATTCAAAATCTCGACCAAAATTGGACTGGCACCCGGGTCGGGGTGGAACGCGGTGGGCAGGCCATCAGCAGCGAATTGGGCTTCGTCTAGGACAAAGAATGGATGGAAATCTGGACCCAGGAGGCTGCGGATGTCGCGCAAAGTGTCGGAGATATTCGCCCAAGTATAACCATCCGTAGGTTCCTCGAGGGCAATGGTTAAATCGTCGAAAATATCTAGACAGTCTCCTAGACGGGGATGGAGTTGAAGTAGCAGCCACGTGGTTTTATGGTCCGCTGCATTCCCCATCTCCGTCGCGATCTCCAGGAACATATGGAATATAAGCAGGCGCGCAAGCAGGGCTTCGCTGAGGCGACGATATGTCGGCAGACGGTTGTACTCGAGTTGATCGGCGAGATCGGGAGAGTCAGCGTGAAGCTTCCGGAGGAATTTAGAATCGTTTGCGAGTTTCTTTGATTATGCGGTTTAGGTCATATGATCCGAGGCTGGTTTTGACACTAAATAGAACCCATTTCATGGCAAAGGCCTTCGAAGAGCTCGGAATCTGGAGACCAGTTTAGGAGCGGCTGCTCGGATTTAATATTCGGCGAGCAGAGGATGTATTTCCTGTAGCAATCCTGTGTTGTAGGACACATTGCCGGGTTCTGGATAAGGACTATATGGCAATGTGTATAAATCAGAGAGTGAAAAGCGGTAAAAAATAAGACTGAACCTGAATTTTTGACGCTTTCGTACGAATTGATAGCGTGGGCCTTTTAAACGTATCGTGAAGACCGGGTTCCCGGCGGAGCAAATCAAGACAACAATCCTCCGCTGTATAGCGACGATCCAGCAGGGAGCCCGGCTCGGACGAATAAGCGTCGACGATACAGTAGTAGGGCTGGAAGAATATGATTAAATATGACTTGGACCCATAATGTATCGTAATCATAGGATAATTTTAAGGACTGGCCGATACTTAATTGTATGTGTATCGTAATGTATTGTAATCATAGGATAATCAGATTTAATCGTATTTAATGAATGGTAATCCCTTCCAAGTAGTCCAACCCTTCTCCGAAGCCAGCGTTCAACAGCTCCTTTGTTACAACAGTCGAGGATGCAGTTGAAGCGGCCATAGACAACCGTGCATTGGACATGGTGTGCTTGCTGTAACGTGAAAGATGTCTGTCTGCGTCGCCGAGCGAGCAGGAGAGAGGAGGGGAGTGACTTGATGCGTTTCTTGAGGCCGTAAGCAGCGTGGGAAAGTGTTTGACCAGTTGAGAATCGTCAAGCATTGTGAGGCCGATGGGAATGCACAGTGGCGGACAGAAAATTTGCTGCGGAGTCAGAATACAGTCTTTAACTGGGAAGCGCAACACTCCGAATTACATACCTCTGGGGCTTCCGATGAGGTCAAGAGTTGTGAGGAATATAGAAGATCAGCGTCCCTGATTACAGAGATGTACTTTACACCACCAAAATGGATACCCTGGGAGCTACCGTGGAGTGTTGCGCCTCTATGTTATTTGGTGATATTTGGAATGCCGGAAAGATTTGCCTGGTTCTTGACACCTACTGAATGTTATCCGCAAAGGTAAATTTTAGCATGGATTAGATATCAATCCGGTCCAGAATGCAATTCGGACCGAGTGATTTGATTGAGATTCGGCGCAGATAGGTATCTTTGAAACAGTCTGGCCGTTGCGCTTTCCAGTTAACGACTGTACGGAGATAGTCAGTGCCGAGATTCACCGCAAATAGTTTGAAAGCCTTTGATGTGATAATCTGAACGACTACCGATGTCTCAAAAAGAGCTGCGAAGGGGACCTGATAATGCTAGGATTACCATTAATTACGAGCCCTGTAACTTAATGTAATCGTAACTTATTGTAATGTATTTGATTGTAATATTAGGCTGTAACATTACGGGCAGGCCATACTTAATTGTAATCTTACCATTACGATACATTATAATCGAATATAATCATAATCCTATCCAGCCCTATACAGTAATTAACCGGGAAGCGAAACGCTCAAGCGAATTCGCAATTCCCGGGCCGAGATTGCATAAAGTTGTTGGGGATCTCTTCATAGATCGATAGAGATGTGTCAGGGCTACCTGGAAATATATAGTTTTATAGGAAAATGTTGGGTTTTGATTGAGAATGAGGCCATTCTTTTACAAACATCCGATTTTGCAGAATCACGTGGAAGCAAAACACTGCAAAATAACCTGTGGGCTGCCGTTCGTTGCAATCCAGCCACAGGGTTATTTATATTCGTGTTCTGCGACCTTGAAAACACCCAGTTCACGCGTGTGCAGGAGGAATTGTGCGCCCGAAATACCGTGCCTCCGACAGATTATATCCATCAAAATAGGCCGAAAAATAGCGAACACAAAGTGATCTGCCACAGGTTCTACAGAAGCTTTTTGCGCAATTCTTTCTGCTATGAGCCATTTATCATGGCTAACTATCCTCTCACAGAAACTGGGGCCCGTCGGATGCCTGGGATCCGGGACAAAGCCGGTGTTTCGCTTCTACATAGTGTTCCGCTTCCCGGTTAACTACTGTATGCTTTAGTGCTCTGGATGTGTTGTCAATGTCCTCTAGACCAGGGAACTCTTCAAGCAAGGTAAGGCCTTTCCTCAATGGTGAAGTGTCGGCCAT